TGGGAGACGTCGCATCAGAACTAGCGTGGATTGTGGCAGCATTTAAGGAACCTCGGGAAGAGGGTCTGACATTCTCTGGAGCGGAGATCGAATACATCGTCCACAGCAGTGAACCCTCTAGGACAGAACAGGAGGGTTGCTCTAATTTCCATATCGTGTACTGCGAAGCTCCACGCAAGAGATCTGAAAATCCTATTGGCACGTGTTGGCACCAAGTGTTCACCGGATTGAATGTTGCAATCGGCTTCCCTATTCCCCATCGTCCGAATCACATGCGTGGTGTGGAGATACCGTTCACTCTGATGACCACTCTCGCTGGTGTCGGCCACCCTGTTGCATACGAGGGCGGCTTTGTCTTAAAAGGTCGGGAAAATGCTTTGGTCCCGGTCAAGTCTGAGCCAATTTCGGTTTCCATTGGCGAATCTACTGCTCTACAGTGGCACCTGGTCGGGCGCGAAAAGGGCGAGAAGAGTCGGCTCTACATGGCAGAAGTGAAGCAAGACAAACCAAGCATCCTGCCGATAAAAACCGACAAAGACCCGACAGAATTTCTCAATGACACCGAAGGATCGAATCGACACTTTCTTGGATTATATCAAGATGCCGAGATTTTCCCGGGTGCGGACGGCAGCAGACAAACGATAAAGTCTGCCCGTGGCCTTGCAGGTGTAAAAGAGGAAACTCAACGCTGGCCAATAGAATGGAATAGAACCATCAATTTCTCAATCGGTGGGGGTGCAGGAGGCGCATCAGTCGGCCTGGGAACAGGCTTCCGCTTTCCAACCCGGAAGGAACAAGAACTGCGTTTTAGTCGTGACCGGGATCTTGACCAACATCTGGAGGATGCAAGCAACAATTTCACCATACTATACGACGTTCAGAGTAGGGTGGCATGGATGTTACCGCAGATATGCGTGGTGATGCACCTGTTGCAGGAATGGATCAAACCGAGATACCCACGAGCCGGATTCTGGTTCCCAGTTCTCGAAGAGCTGGATATAGGCGGCTTGAGAAATACCTTTCGAAGTTTCAAAAAGCAGCCAGCAGCAAAGAAGGCTCACATTAACCTGGAGTTCCATTTCAAGCACTTTTCTAACCTGTTAGACCAGCTGCAGGATAATGAAGGCTTGAAACCGCGTGAAACGCATTGTCACATACCGAAAAGACAAAAGTTGGCAGGTGTAGACTTCGCGACACTGGCTCAAAAGCCTCAGATTTACAGAATCCTGACGACATATATCAAGTCTGAAACCAGCGGCGACTGGCCAAAAATGCTTAGAAATAATTGGGAGCACTTAACTGAGCACCCTTACAAAGTGGTGACCCTGTTTTGTGCCAATGTCCACCCACAGCCGATTAGTCCGAGAAGAGGAAGTGAATTTTGCAGTGCGTGGTTCCCGGTACCTAATGACCAAGACTATTTAGTCACAACCATGTACTGCCTCAGGAAGTTAGCCTCGACTTACGGAGAAGACCCGGTCAAGCTCTCCCGTCAACATGCCTGGGAGCGTTGCACATTCGGTCCATTTGAAGCTTGTAATGGTCAAAATAGGAATCGACTACAGAAAATTGTTAGAGGGAATGGAAATAGAGAAACAACTATGAGGGAAGTGCTTTGTGATAATTCTGTTTGGGGAGCCATTGTTTTTGGAGGCAATTTTCAAGTGAGATTCTACAGCCGGTGCGACTGTTCACGACGGCAAAGTTCTGCGTCAGTAACGGCAGGACGCAATACGAGGATGACAGATATCGTGCCCAATGGCACAAGGTCAGGAGCAGTCGAGACTTATACCCATGCAGAAGCGGATATCACTGCCAGAGCCAGCGCAAGCTCTTCCAACACGACAGCAGCGTCCACGGCATCTACGGGATCCCCAACAAGGAGTTGTACAGCCACCAGAGCAAGCTCCGGCACTTTTTTAACTACCAGTTATGAGGGAAGTGACATGAGACGTGGTTCTAAACACAACTAATCCCTCTAAATAAATTCACATTGCACCATTTCAAAACTCCATTGCTCCGCAGTTCTCCTAACAATTCCAAATAATCACAGTACAAGAATTTCAATTATTAGTACAGAGGGTTCCTTTGAACTTTTACTAATGCAGAGAATATTGCGTCTTTGACAGTCCGGAAGAAAAGGCAGAATCGAGTCGTATCATTTCAAGAAAATAACTAGGGATGGAGAGAAAATAAGCTATTGTAGCAGGAAAACTATATGATGGCTCCCGCACTGTGTCCTCATTTCACATGGAGCCGAAGTTGTATCCGCTTAGTACGCATCGTGGTGGGCTTGATCAAAGCGTTGAGGCCCTACATACTATCATCCAAAGAGACACGCCCGGAACCATTCACTGGATAGGCGCCGTTCAACTTGTGCGCCACCCCATTCATCACCCACTCATGCATGAGCGTTTTCACACGGATAGTACTAGAGGTCCATGGAGGCGCTCTGATCGACAGTCTCACTGACCCGTCTCTGACGGGAAAACCGCTTATCGGGTCTCGTGTCTATCTGCACTGCCCATAAGTTTGAGTGGCGACTTAAGATGGAATATGAACTGGCCCCTTGTGGTATAGCTTATAATATCATAGAGAAGATAACAATCCCGTTCGAGGAGTATGGCGTGTGACCTCAGCATCGCGTTTTGCCGGTCCGCTGGCCCTTCTCCCCCCAAGAACCCGAGCCTTAAAAGTCGAAAAATCCGGATTATACGAACAAGCAACAACCTCGAATTTCTCACTTCTGCATACTTATGTAAAGCCCATCTAAGGCCTGTTAGTCACGATGCCATTTCCTAGAGAAAATGATTAGGGGTCCCAGAGTGATCAGCCGGCATCTATCAATGACTTTTATGACGAAGGTATACGACTATGGTGTTGTCATTATGAATGGGGCAGTAGTTTAAAATCATTCGGTATATCGAATGATATCTCGTGATGCAAGGAGCCCTGCCAGTACCAGCACTTAAAACATCTAGTCCGGACAGTAATATCTTTGTATAATGCCTGGTCTTCAGTAAACTGGTACATACGACCACAGGGTGTGGAAAACAGGGCTTCCCGTCCGCTCAGCCGTACTTAAGCCACACGCCGGGAGGTTAGTAGTTGGGTGGGTGACCACCAGCGAATCCCTCCTGTTGTATGTTTTTATTTTATTTTTTTTTTCTTTAAAACGTCATGGACATGTGACAGGGTATACGGGACGGTTAGTATATGGGTATATGGTAAGGCACCATGAGAAACATAGGATATAAGGACACTCATTCATGTACTTTAGTTTCCCATGATCAATCTACTCAGTTACTTGATAGCTACATTTTAGTTTGTATCAGCTCTACTCTTTCGCATTCTCTTCACTATTAAGTACATATACCCAATAGACCTGGTCCTTCTAGCTTGAACTGATCCTATTCGGGTCGCTTTACGTTATCATTCGCACCTTATGGTCAAGCCCTAATCGCCAACTGCTAGTACACTTTGGCCATCGAGATAAGTCGCATCTAACCAAGATAGCTAGATGGCCCCAGAGCCCTGGGATGGAACCTTGGGTATAACAAGTATCCGACTTCGAGCATGAGAAGTGCCTTGCCTCAGAATGTCGTCGCTAGTCAATTTTCTGCCAACGAATAGTGCTATTTTATGCTGAAGACTGATATGGAATAGGTAGAACCTTTCTGTCCTTGATGTATCCCAAATGATAAATTATCTGTCCCAGGGTGTTTAAGCGATGAGATCATAGCAACCTGGAGTATTCTCTTGCTCGCCCTAGAGTTTCAAACTACGACTATAATCAAACTAATGGTTGGGCTATAGACTAACTTGTTCACCTATCCAGATAGCACAGGACAATATAATTGAGAAAGGACGCCTCCGTCCATGCATATTATAGAGCAGTTCATTCCAGTGGTCGTGATGACATTCGCCCAGATCGTAGCATCCTGACTAGAGACAGGAACAAACCTAGTTTCAAAGATTCGAATTAATAGAAGAACAACACCCCCTCCTTTCCGCCGAGCCATTAATGATGTGGCCCTTTTGACCGACGTCAGCTTCATGATGGTGGCAGAGTAAGATTTTAGAAAGCGTGGATTGATATTCGTCACCTCGGAGCCAAGGGAAGAAGTGGGAGGTTCTGTGTGCGGAACGAACATCTGGTGTATACGCTGTTAACCGGTCGAGCATTGTTGCGAGTAATAGAGGGAGTGGGGAAAGGTCTTGCTGCCTGAGCAGCTATTTGGTTTTACTTTGAACACTTGAAATGCGAGCCCCAACAATCATTGCTTCCGTCTACTCCTTCTAGGTTGCAGTGTGGAATGTGGGTTTCGTCTGCGTTTCTTGCGCGCCTCAAACAAGGCTGTCTTCTCCTGACAGAGCCACATTTCTGTAACTTCTCGCCCTCGAGAAGGACCGAAGTTAACAGAAACTTATGAGGTCCAGCGGCTATTCAGCAGCCGATTGGAATAGAAAAAATAGTGCACGGCTCAAGTGGAATGTGCACTTACTCTGGTTTAAGTTAGACACTGTTTTTCAAACAGGCAGTGTTAAGGGACGGACTAAGATGTGACAAGCTAAAGCCGAAGCAGTTCCTTGTGATGACTACCTCGTTATAATATAAAGTGTAATCAAATTACCTGAAAACATGAATAAATAGCTATGCAGGTAATACAGCTGGTAGATGTGCGGTCATCAGTACTACATAACTAACTGGTGGGGGAAGTTTACTTTTCGCCAGCTATTGGTGTTTCACGAAGTGGCGTGGGCGCTAAATCTGCATAATCAAGGCTTCAAACACAATTGACGTGGCGTATCTTCATTCGTGTGTATAAGGGAAGGACGACACAAGGCTGAGTTGCCGGGTGCTGGGTTGGGTCTCTGATCTTTCAACCCATCATCTCTATGCTCAGTGAATATTTTCACGAGTCAGCTTAAGTGTGAGCCGACCTTAAATTCCAATCCATATCCAGTTCCCTGCCTTTGCCACTGCTCCGCTTAACGTGATGCCTTCTCGAGATAAATACACAGTTGGCTGGATCTGTGCCATCCGCAAGGAATACGTCGCCGCCCTAGCTTTTCTGGACGAGGTATATGAAGAAGTATTTGAGCTTTCAAAGAACGACAACAATACTTATACCTTCGGCAAGCTTGGAGCCCACCTTGTGGTTATAGCTGTCTTACCTGATGGCATTTACGGTATATGCTCTGCTGCGAACGTCGGGAGAGACATGTTGCATAGCTTCCCGAATATTGAAATTGGCCTGTTGGTTGGTATTGGTGGAGGTGCGCCCAGTCAACGTCACGATATCCGCTTAGGCGATGTTGTTGTTAGTACCCCTAGTAATACGACCGGTGGTGTGGTCCAATATGATTTCGGTAAAACCATTCAAAACGAAAGCTTCCTATTTACAGGTTTTTGGAATCAGCCACCGACGTGTCTGCTCACAGCCGTGAATGTGCTCCGGGCAAAATACGACACCGAGGGCCATAAGCTCGACGAACATATATCCAATGTCCTAAAGAAGAACGAAAGATTGCAAAAGGTGTACCAAAGGCCGCATCCAAGCACTGACAAGCTTTACAAATCTGAAGTTGTCTGTTCCCATAGCGATACATCAGGCACTGGGCGATCAATATCTACGGTATTGGCAATAAAGGTATGGCTAGAAGCATTGGCATTGCTTTTGCTGGTTTCACGCTGAGGTTCAGGTCTAGTTTCTCTGGGAAATCCTTCTTAGCTTAGGTATTTTGCTCCGCTTATGGACAGAGCGCAATGACAGCAAATCCGATTTAGTCGTGCGCCCTGAGAGAAGTGGAACGGATGATAACCCTATGATCCACCATGGCTTAATTGCGTCGGCAAACAAACTCATGAAGGATGCTACAATACGTGATAAGCTTGTAGCAGAAAAGGGGGTTCTATGCTTCGAGATGGAAGCTGCAGGTTTAATGAACCACTTTCCTTGCTTGGTCATTCGGGGTATATGTGACTATTCGGACACGCATAAAAATGACCAGTGGCAAGGGTATGCAGCAATGGCAGCGGCAGCTTATACAAAAGACCTTTTATGTTGTTTATCGCCGAGCCGGATAGCAGCATATAGGGATGCTAAGGGGAATCAGGAAGACAAATCCATCCGCGAATGGCTTGCAGGCATTGACTACTCCAAGGACCACAAATATTACCTGGATAAATGGCAAAATGGGACAGGTGGGTGGCTTATTAAGTCAGAAGAGTTTGGAAAATGGTTGGATAAGGACAACCAGATTCTTTTCTGCCCAGGCATTCCTGGTGCAGGCAAGACTTTCGCTGCCTCTTTCATCATTGATCACTTGTGCCAGAACTATCAGAGAGACACAGACACGAACATTGGTATCGCATATGTATACTTCGACTGGCAAAAGCCCCAGATCTCGCGTAGTGATCTGCTTTCAAGCCTTCTTTCGCAGTTGATTCGGCCTTCCATTCCGGAGATTGTAAGAAGCTTTTACAACCAGCATATAACCCGAACTACCCGACCTTCATCGGAGGATATTATGGATATCTTGGTGGAAGTCGTTAGCATGCAAACGAGGACCTTTATAATCGTCGACGCGCTGGATGAATGCAATGGTTCTGTCGGGTCACGGTCAGATGTCCTAGCAACATTGTTCAGTCTGCAGGACAAAACTCGTGCGAACCTCTTGGTGACGTCGCGGCATATTCATGCAATAGAGACAGAGTTTGCCGAAAGAGGGAGTATCGTGCTCGAGATTCGCGCTCGCGATGAAGACATCCGGAGATATCTCGACGACCATGTAACTTGGCTACCAAAGTTTGTTCTGGAGAAGCCTGGGTTGGAAGAAAAGATCGTATCGGCAATTATAAAAGCAGCAGATGGGATGTAAGGGTTTGCTCGTATACAGTTACTTAGTAGTCTGCTGATTTTTGGGTCAGGTTTCTCCTCGCATATCTTCATTTGCAGTCATTGAAGGATACGATAACCATCTCCGAAATCAGAAGGACTTTAGAAATGTTACCTAAAGTATCTGGCGCATACAATGCGGCTTACAACAGGATTATGCACAGAATTGAACAGCAGCCCATGAACCGCAGAATACTAGCTTCTCGGGTTCTTTCTTGGATATTTCGCGCACGGCGACCGTTGGGAATCATCGAGCTACAGCACGCCTTAGCTGTTACAGAAAACTCATCCTCAATCGATTTAGATAATATTCCAGCCATTGGCATAATAATCGATGTTTGCGCTGGCTTGGTTTTCGCCGACAAAAGCTGTGGAATAGTACGCCTGGTCCACTTCACAGCACAGGAGTACATTGATCAATCTTGGATAGCACGGTTTCCCGATGCCGATGTGAATATTGCAAAGACTTGTCTGACCTACCTATTATACGAAACATTTGAAAGGGGCCCGACTACGACTTGGGAAGAATACCGACAGCGACTAAAAAACAATCCCCTTTATGAGTATGTCGCACGGTATTGGGGTTTCTATGCTAGGGAATCCTACCTCGAAGTCAAACAGTTAACATCATATTTCCTGCGGCATAGCTCAGTGCTGGCTAGCGCAGCGCAGGTTATACTGGAAGAAGCTTCTCTCTTCCGTCCGTTGAGGAAACTGGAAGGGATTATGGGGTTGCATATCGCCGCGTATTTCGGAATAAACCATGAAGTTATAGACTTTCTAAAGGATACACCATGCACTGCTACGGTGGATAGTTTTGGTCATACCGCTTTACATTGGGCAGTGATGGGAGGACAGATTCGGACAGTTGAAGTTCTTCTACAAGAGGGGCTCGATGTTAATGTGATAGATACTGAGATGAGATCTGCGTTGCACTACGCAGCTAGCCAAGGCGACGCTGTATTGACACATCTCCTGTTAAGCAAAGGTGCACTTACTGAGATTCGGGATATAGGTGGGCAGACGCCCTTATTGGCTGCCGCAGATAAGCTCAGTATTGCGGCGATCAAAGAGCTATTAGATGCTGGGGCCTTTGTCAATGCAATAGATGCAATGAGTCGGAATGCATTACATTTGGTAGTGCTTGCTGCAAAGGATCAGAGCGCCAATCTAGCTCACTTGCTTTTATCTTGGGATATTGATGCCAGCTTGACCGATTTTGATAACATGACCCCGCTGCATTATGCTGTTGCCACAGGAAATCGCCAAGTTGCAGATATACTTCTCGAGGCGGGCGTCGATATTAATATTGGCGTTGAGAGAAACCTTTGCACGATTAGTATGGAAGCTGGGGAAACAACCTATCAAAGACGTCAGCCACCTCAAACTGCAGAAGCGAATATTACCAACGCTGTTGGTCTCACACCGCTGCATTTTGCAGCTTGTAGCGGCCACTGTGCAATGACTGAATATCTCCTGGACAAGGGTGCCAATCCAAACTCACAGTCTCACGACGGGGACACACCATTGCATATTGCCCTGAATAGAGGCATCCCAGGAAGCAGTCCAAGAAGATTGGCGAACGATGACGCATGGACGGGCGACAGATGGCAAGTTGAGCTTAATGTTGACTATATATCCGACTACGAAGGAGAGGAAGCACGCGAGATCCATGGATACATTGATGAACAGAGATTAGCGGTAATTAGTATCCTTCTTGCAAAAAGTGATATTGATGTGAATATCGCAAATTCAGCACTAGAATCGCCACTTCATAAAATTCGCTATGACACAATTGACTCAGAAGTGGTTGTTCAGTCACTGCTCGAGAAGGGGGCCAATGCTTTTGCACGTAACTGGAAAGGACAAACAGCATTACACCTCGCCTGCAGCGCAGGAAGTTCTACGAACGTCTGCAAGTTCCTTGACTGGGGTTGTTCTATTACCAATAAGGATTCAGAAGGTGTGACCGCTTTGCATTACGCCGTGCACCAGGATAAGTGTGACACCGTAAAAGTGATCCTAAACAAGGATCGAGAGGGAGGCCGACAGCTATGTCTCGAAACAGACAGACAAGGCAGGTCTTTACTGCATCACCATCTCCAATCATGTATCTGCTCTCTCGAGATGGTCACCATACTACTGGACCATGGTGTGAGAGTTGACGATGTTGACAAAAATGGAGACACCCCTCTTAGCATATACCTGCGGAAGTTTAAATTGTTATGCGAGTCAGAAATTTGCCTCTCTCTTCTGCAGCAGGGAGCTGATGCATTCTGGACAAGCCCAAAAGGTGAGAACTTAGCGCACCTGGCGATGCACAATTGGAAGGTGGAGATCGAGCTTTTGAAGCTCTTGTCGGAACACGGTGTGAATTTGTCCTCGAAGGACAACAGTGAAAAAAATATCTTACATCATGGAGCTATTCATGGCTCAGTGAGTAAAGATATTCTTGACTTCATTTTGCAAAAGGATCTCATCAACTGGAACGACAAAGACGAGGAAGGAAAGAATCCGTTTATGTATGCGCTGGAAGAGTCCAAAAAAAAGCGACATCCCGACCTATTTGCGTCAGATAGATGGAAGCATACATGGGAGAATCTAAGTAACCTAGCTGGGGCAAAAGAGGTTTAAGTCATAGGCAGGAGTGCAAACAGACCTGAGTGTGCAAACAGGCTGTATTGACTATTCAGCATGTTCTATATGTATTGCAAGATATTTCTTATTCACGAAGTTCACCGAAACCACAGTCGTTGTAGTAATACTAGAACAATAGTACAAAAGTCAGTGCCGGGGAGCTGACGAGCAACAAAGGCAAAGCCCCAGCGCTCATAGGAATATACGCCAATTGTGTCAACGAAGAGCTCCGACAGACCTTCCTATTCGTCGCTTAAGGCTACCATCCCGTCAATGCTTGTGCCCTTTGACCATAGACATTGCGAAGGATTACACCAACCCCATGAGCCATCATCGCTCTGATGGTAGATAAGGTCCCGCTCATCAAACTATTCTCTTCAAGTCCTTTCATCAGCCAAATATTTCTTGAACTATGGTAGAATTCCAACAGCCTTACCGAGTAAATTTAATGTCGGCTGGTGTCGTCTGCGGCAATAGTTAGTCAATGCATGGTATAGGCTGTGAATGTCGCCATCTTCATCCTACTTGTTCTCGTCGCTACCCATGATCAACTATTTCACAATGTCTCTAAGGCCAGTATTACAAATATCAAGGACACCTTGAAAGAATCTAGCCACGAGCTGGGTATTGGGGATGTCGTTATAAAGTCTACGAAGAGGATGGACGCCCCAAATCTAGGACCGGCAACCGACCCCATAACGACTCTTAAAAGCTACTATTATATATTTTATTAAATATATTTAGAGATTCTTAGCTTAATAAGATATGACATATATTAATTTTAATATATTTTGTAGTTTAATTATACTGTAGCTTTCCACATATCTTCCTCTGTAATCTAGGTGACGGTAAAACTGCTAATACCTTCGGCCAGTGTCGGCATTCTTTTGTTGCCATTTTGGTTCGGTGTATTTATCTTGAAGTTCCATAGAATATTCGGGTCATGATTGTATCATGAGATTAATGAGCAGACTTTGCGTGTCAGGAAGGTGTTTATTGGGACTATCTGCGCCTAGAGAGAGAACTTGTTGATTGTTGAGTCATGCGCAGAACCGGGTACCTTTTTAGATAGCCTCCGGCTATATGTATACAAAAAGGAGACCACAAAAATACCCTTCAAGGCGGATATTCAGATATCGGCCTAAAAGCTCATTCAGCTTCTATGATTGGCTGCGAGACTTTTGGAGCTGGACTGACAACCTGATATTTGCGTATTCTGGGCCCCAACTGTCGTTCTTCGATTTCCATCCGAGCTACAAACTCCATGTTTGTCTTTGTTCCAGCTAATGTCTCCATTTCCAATTTACCAACTAAAAAGATATCCGTGCCATGTGCGTCGCTCACATAGACTTTCAAGATTGTATGCTGTCGAGCTTTCACCGTCGTCCAGGCACCCTCTCTGGATTGCGATATCTCTGAACGCGAGTTCAGTGAACAACATTGAGAATTTGAGGGAAAGACCAGGAGGAGGGGTCTTACTAGCGGCCCCTTGGAATATGGCATTTGCCGTTATTAACACACCATCCTGGGTAAAGATCTCATCGGCTAAGACTGGCCCTACCTCTTGCGAATTCGTGTCCACCAAAGCGAAGAAGCGGTATATAAGTTGCTTCACCTCTGGTAAGGGCTGAGAAACAGGCCAGATCACTGATTTTCTTGAGTCGCTCATAGCCTTTTACTGAATGATAGAAATGGGGTCTGTAAGGTGAGGGAGTCTGAGTGGGCGATAATCAATTACTAAATACTTGGCTCAGCTCATCGCCCAGCCGGCCTAATTCCCTCCCTCTACACCGAATGAAACCGCAGCGATTAGACCTTCTGCCTTGAAAGGGTAAAATCAGTTTAGAAATTTGACGCCAAACCTGTCTTGTGCGCTCCCGCGCCCCCCGGGACAAAAACAGCTTTAATCATAGCGTCGTTCACAAAGTGGTTTCTGTAACGATGAGATACATCGCTTCATCTCCACGTTCGGGTATGTACAAAATAGGGGGTGTGTTCATTGTCCGGCTCCGACTCGGCCTATTTCCGCTACGCTTTCCCGTTTTCGTTCGGAAGCACCGGTAACTTTGGATTTCATTATTCTGCTGAAATCGAAGGCGCTAGACACTATGAGCATGGACGGGGAAAGCTTCTGTCCCAGTAGGAGATCGCCAACTCTCGAGCGCTCTGCAGGCAAATGACTAGGTAGGAGACTTCATAGTACGAAATGCAAATGGAATTAGGAGACATTCATTCATATTCATATACTCGACTTAATTTCATTATTTCTCATAGCAGAGCCAATATCGTTTAAAAAAAATGACTCCTCGTCACATACCCTCTATAAGATCATCACTCTCTTCAAGGAGCGCGGCTATGCAACAAGTGCCAAACATCGTCGGCTCAACGTACCGATCGACTTTATAGTTAACCCTTTGCTACATCATTCCCCCAAGGCATTCCAGACCAATGGCATTCTCAATGAAGGGCCGTCTAAGCGACTGAATCTTTGTCAAGCCGTCAATACTGCCTTAGCCACCGCATTGCGTTCATTCAAAGACGTGCTTTGCTTCGGTGGAGATGTTGGATTTGGAGGAGTCTTCCGCTGCACGAGTGCGCTTCAAAGCGAGGTTGCATATTGTCGGATAGAATTTGGGTCGCTAGACCGCTAGACCAAAACGGCACAGTGGGCGATATTCTTAGTCTATACGGTTATTTCTTGTAGACACAACACATATACATGACGCTTTTCCACCGCCCCTAGTACTTTTGTTATGTAAATATTCTAGATCTCCGAACCAAAATGGAATAGCGCGAAAATATGTATATATTTTTTTTGCCGAGTGGCCTCCGTTCAACGCCACATCTTTCCGTTGGTCTGCGAGAAGCCTGGCATTGTAGTAGGAGAGAATTACGCGCGGGCTACGTTACGTCATTTCCCAGCTAATATACAAGCGATGTGATGTATCTATAAACTCGCTCATATAAGATTTCAGTAATAACCCGCTCGGAACTTCCTCCGCATATAGGTCCCAGAGTGAAATAAAGCAACATCTGTTCCAAGCCAGCATTATCTCCATCATGTCAGACATTTCGATTCTCCGACCCAGCGGGCTAGCTCACGTCGTCTTCAGAACGGCCAACATCAAAGTTATGGTGGAATTCTGGTCCAGATTCCTGGGCGCGGAGCGAGTGTTCGAGAATGAGTTCATTGCTTTTCTTCGGTATGACGATGAACATCACCGCATTGCTATCATAAACGACAAGAGCACAGGCCCTCACTCGGCAACCGCAGCTGGACTTCACCATGTGGCCTTTACCTACGACACACTCCAGGGTCTTCTCAAAGCCTGGGAGCTGAGAGAGAAGCTTGGCATCAAACCGACCTGGTGTGTCAACCATGGCCCTACAACCAGTGTTTACTACAAAGACCCGGATGGAAATGCGATTGAGACTCAGGTCGATAATTTTGACACGGTCGAGGAGGCGAATGAGTTCATGACTTCCAAATTCTTCCAGGAGAATCCCATCGGGACAGATATTGATCCGAACGAGCTGCTTCGCCAGCTAGAGGCCGGTGGGGCTGAGAAGGCCTTAAAGCGACGGATTGAGATTGGCATTCGACATGATATTCCTGCAGCAGTGTGAATATTGGGGTTGTCGTAGAATAGGAAGACTATGTCTTCAAATATATGTTGGGCTTTGAGAGAACAATTTTATTTAATTTGATTCTTTTACAATGCGCATTACATTGAATTGAAACATGCTAGTGTATTCAATTCTCCAATCATTTGCGTTCCGGACTATTGCTTTTGTTTCTAGCTGTTCCTGATAGCTATTGCACGGAATGATCAGCCCTTAGCTCTATAAAGCTGAGTTTATTCGGAAGAATGACAACATTACAACCCATTTCTTACTGAGTTGAAGAGGCCCCAACCCAAGATCGAACGTCCACCCCGGCACTAGCTAGTGACATGACAGTGTCCGAGCTTTCCAAGGTTGAGAGTCTCCACCCTTAAACCCCATTTTCGTCTCACATGGATATATAACTTCGGGTGTCTCAAAACTCCGGTACCCCCGGAGCCCCGGTTTCCCCGCATTATGTATATCTCCGCGCCAAAGTGGAAATAATTAGCTGTTACAATACATTTTGACGCGATTTCAAGTCAGTTTTATAATACCTTATTGATGCCTCGGTTTTACGCGGTTTCTTCAAGATTCCAAGAACTAAATCGTCACACGATTATTGTGTTCAAATCTTTAGTCGTGATCTCTCATTTCTGTCACCATGCCCGAGGAAATCGAAACCCCTGTTGTCATCGTCGGAGGCGGTGGTTGTGGGTTGACCCTTTCAAGCTTTCTATCCAACTATGGTGTCGAGCACGTCCTTCTTGAAAAGCATACAGGCACCTCGATCCTTCCAAAGGCACACTATCTCAACCAGCGCACGATGGAAACACTTCGCAATCATGACATGGTGAAGGATATTCTTCAGAAGACCTGTCCTCCACGACACATGAGTCAGGTTGCCTGGCAGACCTCACTAGGTGGCTCCGGTGTATTAGATCGCCAGGTTATCTCTAAATTCGAATGCTTCGGCGGAAATGACGGAACGGAGTTCGCGGAATCCTATAAGTACGACAGCCTCCACGGTGAATACAAAAGATACTGAAGCTCACAGTATATACAGACGTGATGCCCCGCTCCGCTCTGGGAACCTCCCGCTATTTCGGCTAGAACCAATACTAAAAGAACTTGCGGAGAAGAGAAACCCTGGCAAAATTCTCTTCGGTCATCAGTTGGTGAATTTCACCGATGAAGGCTCTTCCGTCGTTGCTACCGTCTATGACAGAGCCGGACTAGAAAGATCATATCGATGCAAATACCTTATTGCTGCAGACGGAGGCCGGACTATAGGTCCCAAGCTTGGCATCAAAATGGAAGGGTTAACCAACATCGCCGATATGGTTTCAGTGCACTTCAGCGCGGATCTCTCCGAGTATTGGGATGACCGCTACTTTGCTTGCCACTTCATCAATGGCGAATGTAACACTGTCTTTGAGAGCGGTGCAATTGTTCCTATGGGTCCGAATTGGGGCAGGCATTCTAAGGAATGGGTGTTCCATTGTGGATTTGCGATGGACGACCAAAACCGACACGACGATGCAGCATTGATTCCACGTATCCGCCAACTGTTAAAGCTCCCTGATTTAGAACTGGACGTGCATAAAATAAGTCACTGGGCCATTGAGAAAGTCCTCGCGGACAAGTATCGGGTGGGGCGAGTCTTTCTTGCCGGGGATGCGGGAAACCGCCGTCCGCCTACGACTGGTCTAGGGCTCAATACCGCGATCGAGGACTCTCTCAATATAGCCTGGAAGCTGGCATTGGTTCTCAAAGGGCAAACCAGCGAGTCTATTTTGGATAGCTACGAGCCGGAAAGACGCGCTGTCGGCGAGATAAACTCCGATTGGGGGTTGTTCACGTTCAGTAACTCCGCTGTGATCAATACTGTCCTTGGACTCATCCCGGGAGAAAGAGAAGCAAACCAATTCCGTTTACAAACCCTATTCGAAGATACCGATAAAGGGCACAGCTTCCGAGCTCAAGTTGCGCGCATCATCGACACCCAAGCCATTGAATTCTGTGCACATGGAATCGAGCTGGGCTTCAGGTACCCCAAGGGTCTTGTTCTACATGACGGAAGTCTTCCGATAGACAGGGACCCCCTGGGTCTAAAATATTATCCGACCACACAGCCTGGCCATCGTCTCCCACATGCCTGGATCGAGACAGGAACCAGTGTCATCTCTACCCATGACCTGGTGCCAAACAAGCCAGGTTTCGCTTTGATTACGGACAGTGAAGGGGGTGATTGGGGTATTGCTGCCAAGAATATCCTCAAGAACCGTGGGGTCGAAGTTGTCGTGGCTCAAATTGGTGAGAGATGCCTTTACCGGGACTATGACGATCGATGGAATGGCCTGAAAGGCATCCGGACCGGCGGAGCTATCCTTGTTCGTCCCGACAACATGGTAGCCTGGAGGTCGATCTACAAGAGCCGCCATGGCGGTAAGGAGTTGGAAGTTGCGATGGACCAGCTGCTGCTAGGCGATATCGAGGAGCATTCCAAAGCGAAACTCTAAGCCAGCTGGATTATATTATTCAGAAATCTATTTCCACAGCTTATAAAACGTCTCCACTGTATCCTTTCCTTTCGTAGATGCTGCTGCTACTATGTGCTACTTTGGTTTTGCATTGCAGCGCCATTACCATTACATGCTAGTTGCGCTGGGCTGGGGGCTCTACACCTTCGGCATGACTCTCAGCTCCGCCAGCGTGAATACGTGTGTGTTGAATTCCTATCCGGAAGCCAGTGGTGACGTTAGGATGTGGATCAATTTCTCACGCACTGCTGGGGGGTCCATTGTCAGTTATTTCCAGGTCACACTGGGCTAGCGATATAGGTGCAAAGGCGGCATTCGGAACTCAAGCAGTTGTGAGCCTGCGGGTGTTGGTCTGGGGGGAGAATTAAATTTCAAAACGAATTAGGAAGCAGCAAGTACTGCAAACTGGAAGAGAATACGGATTCCTGTCTTGGGCTGGGGCTGTTTACTTGAGAGTAGTCTCTGCTACAGATAGTTGAAGCAATTTATTCACGTCCTTGATGACTGCACAAAATCCAGCCTAGTGTCCGTAAAATGGCATTAAAGAAGAACTCGGCGCCAAAGTTATTAAATTTGAAAATTACTCATAGTGAACCTTGTTGACAAGAGACCCAATTCGCTCAATACAAACTCGGATTTCATCTCCATCTCCAAGGAATATTTTGGGGGACCGGAAGTATCCAATTCCTGGCGGGGTCCCTGTCAGGATAATTGTTCCAGGCTCAAGGGTAGTCCCTTGGGACAAATAGGCGACGAGTTCGCACACTCCGAAAATCATGTCACTGGTATGGCCCTCTTGAACGGTTTTGTTATTGTAAATTGCGTTGATTTTCAAGTCTTGGGGATCGGGAATAACGGCCGTGGACACCAAAACTGGGCCTAGCATAGTAGAGATGTTAGATTTTCCTATAATCTTCCTTTGTTCAAGACTTTTTACTTGCCCAACGGACAGCTGAAGTCCATGCCCTTGGAGAAGCAAGGCATTGGAGTTTTCACCTGCACATTTCGCGCCGAAACATCGTTGGCAGCAGTGTATCCAAGAATATACCAAGGAGCCTGTTCAGCGGTAATGTCCCGAGCTGACTTTCCGATAACAATGGCAAGCTCTGCCTCATAATCGCTTGAGTTGTCTTGGGCAATCTTTGGGATGTTAATGGTACCCGGGTACGGATTGGCGATGGTGGTACGGGGTTTCGAGAAAAGGGCTGGGACGGTTGGAATTGGCATGCCGGCCTCCTGTTTTATCTTAGCGGCTACCTCCTCAACCCCAGATTTCAGTTATCGATAAGTGGAATTATGGTACCAAACAATGGCGTACCAGTGCATGAAGCTTGTAGTTGAGACCAATGCAGCGAATGTAGGGACATTCCTCTGGAACAATAGGTGATAGTAGCTGTGACGAAACCTGAGTCTATGCAATGCCTTTTGAAGTAGAGTGCTTGACAAACCTTGCGGACTTGCAAAGCATTTTCTGTTACCCTGCCATTGTATATAGTTCCCTCTACTTTGTATGCATAAATGGGAATTCCATTGATAGAGTCTAGGCCGACATCACGCGTTGGGTCGACCAGTTGACCCAAATGGACTTGGTCATCCTCGAAGGCGACAAAGCGCACCAAATGTGTCCAAGATGGCATTTTGAGACCAAATCAATGAGAAAAGTCTTTTGGAACTCCCTTAGATGGATTGTAGTAGTGTTGCAGCGTATTCACCAGATAGCGAGGTCCGAGGAGAATGAGCTCTTTTGTTGTTGCTGGGAGCGGATCATTTCCCATTTGGGTCGGGGGAGTCTCGGACCGACTAGTTCGGTTTACAAACATATGACTGAAAGAAATGATGTATGCAGGGACGTTTGAATATCATATTGAACTGCTCATTAAAGCGCTTATTATCCCCATACCGCAGTCTATAAACACGGGGCCTCAAAGAGAAAAGTAACTTGGCTGCGTAAGAAGATCAGTTCCTAGGAAAAGTCCATTTTAGGGTACAGCCAAAGGTGCAAGCTGACCTTTCAAAAGATGATCATGTCTCCTGCAGCTGAAAGATTTTCGAAGAACTCGGTCGAGAGGGTATTCAAGGCCTCGAAATTGGCATTCGACGCAAAAACTGATGCCTAGGAAGGAGAGTATGGAATCAACATCCGACAAGAATCATTAGAAATCTACAGGCTTACCGGTTCTCCAGACATATTTACTGAAAAAGGGTCAGGTGAATAAGCGCTCGAGCGATTTGTGCTCCTAGGCGCTACCATCGTCGCCATTCGTACAGCTTTGTTTGCTAGGCCGACGATTTCTCTCGCAAAAGTGAACGATACTTGTGACGATGTGAGAAAATGAACTTTTGCGAAATGACCGCTCGCGAGGTCGAGAAGCGCAAGGTCCGATTCGACTGTCTCAAGCGTCGGGATTTTGAGGATGTAGATAAACAGATTGATAACCGCGAGCATGGGGAAGTAAAAAACAATCCTGGCAACTTAGCATTCGCTCTTGGTTCCAGGCTGGGCGTAGAACAGCAGACACTCACGGGGATGAAGACGACGTATCGAGCTCGGTGTCCTTCAAAGTCCACAAAATCTGTCGTGAAGCTTCAGCAGCCCGAGTCGAGCTTTTCAACATTCGATCTTCAAAAAACGGCTCTTGGCGAGCAAGCAACGAACTTATCCAAGGATAATGAAAATTTGCATTCAAAGAAATGACACTTCCCCAGTATAAGTAGTGTAACCGCAAAATGTTTGCTTTGCATTGGTAAGAGTTCCTCAACGGCTGGTAATCATTCTGCTTGGCTAGGGTTAGATGATCTGGGAGAGAATTCCGCCACATTCGCAGTTTATCTTCCAACGTTTCCATTGTGTCGAAGAGCGATTTGGGTGACTGATTAAATGCCCGTGCTGATAAAAGCTGTTTGCTTATCTTTGCGCAGATTTTAGCATGCTCTATAGCAGCAATAATCACTTCAATATCCGACCTACTTCCATCAGGAAGCTCATTGGGTATCTCGCAGCTTATTTCATCGTCGTCAAACGCCTGGAATTAGATTAGAAACGCTAAAAATATAAGAAAACCAGAAGAAAGAAACGAGAATCGAAACATGATACATACCGACGGACGGCCCGATCGCAACGCAATATTCTTGTCATAGCAATATGCGGCCCAAAATACCCAATTCCTGTGTACCACCTCTGATCTTGGAAGATTCCATGCCCTTGATGGCTGTCGGTGAAGACCCTTTGATTGTGCGAGTCGAACTGCTGACGCACAGAGCATGTACTCGACAGCCGGACTTCCTAAAAGCTCAGCGAAGGAAGTCTGGGTAACTAGTCAGTTATTGGTGAAGCAAGTGTCCAAGCACACATACCATCACGACCAGTGCCTGCACGGCCATTAGTCCGCTGGGCCTAAATAGAAGCTCCGCAAAAACGGAAAAGGCATTGTGAAAGAATCGTAAGGACTCCGACTGGATTTCTGCGAAGTCCCTAGTTTCGTCCATTGATACCGCGACTCGACGCCCTATTGCATACACAGCATTCCGCAAGGCATACCAACCAACGTCCTCATCGGGTCTGTTGGCATTCTGAAAATGGATACGAAGTCGACTCTCGAAACTGGAGCGGAGAACAACACCGAAAACACTATCTCGCGAGTTCTCAAAATAAGCTATAACAAGTAAGCTTAAACATGACCTTAGCATACATGTAATTAATGACACGGGTTTGCGTACCTGACACGTATTTCCAAGCATTTTCGATCCCTGGCTCTGGGCATCTTTCACGAATTGTGTCTGAGCTCAGCGTCAATTTTTTCGTCCAACCCATGACCAGTCCCTGGGCAATTTCATGGAATCGAGTGGTGCCCGCTTTAGCAGAAACCCATTGCACGCCCGGAGCTGAACAAATAGAGAGCCATGAACCAGGCCCTATTTCCATTAGTATTATTATCGTGTCTTCAGAGCGAATTGGCAATAACCCACCATGATGCTCCCAATTTATCTGGGATCCGAGTTAGCAGGGAGAACTTGCAAGGTGTGCAAATATCAACATACAGCTTGGAGGTCCATTGTGGCCTCCTCTCGATCGATTTCAGACTCTCGAGGGGTCGGAGGCCTTCTGTCAACATTCCCTGTATTATTTCCATATGTCGACGTTCTATTGAGTATTGGAGAAGCATCTATCTCCCCAACTGCAAACTGATCCACCGATCCCGTCGTCTCCGTAATGTTCGGAGTAACCTGACTGGGCCCAATTAGGCTTGTCTCGGGATGTATCTGGTTTTGCCTCATTTCAGAGATTGGAATGGACGGCTGATCTGTCGGTTTTAGGTTGGAGAACACATTGCATCCACCCCAGTCGTTTGGCTGCTGGATCGTCTCGGTTGGACTGGCACAGCTGTGTATCGTGCGCTCTTCGTTACTTTTCCGCCCTCTTCGTTGTAAAACCGGGTAAGCACATTGTTGCCCACGGTCCTATGGCCAGCATTTGTAAGAATGTCCCCTCCAAATGTGGGTTTCGTTTTTGGCATACCAAGCAATTCCCACAGGGGACAGCGCCGTCGCCTATGTAAAAGAGATTAGCACGTTTCAGGCAATCTTCCGTACATTACTAACATTTCACCTTTTTTTTCCTGCAGTGGCTACAGGCCTGTGATATCTTAACATGTTCTCTATTTGGAGGCATGGAAACTCGAAATGAGTATGATAACGAGACTAGGGTGGCTGTGGGGAGACGTATAAGCTCGTGCGGGGAATTAGCGTTCCAGGTGCATAACCCTCCACGTGATGCGCAGGATCCCTCTAACCGCGGGGATTGGGGGAATTTGGGGGGACTGGGGAGGGACTGGGGAGGGATGGCGATGGGTCGTGCTTTCTCTACAGGAAGGGCTAGGACGTTTGGAGGGCTGAAGCCGACTTGATTTAACCTGGATACGCCACGACCTGTTTACAAAGGGGAAGTTGTCCGTTCCCGCGAGATAGCACACTGCCGCATACAGGCCGGCCACGGTCACGTGGCCATATATGGCAATGGACCCGTTAGGACGCGCTCGAATCTACAGAGTCTCGATTGGTATTGAGTTGGTCGCGCGTCTCATAGTTGCCTATAGTATTCGTTGTGAGCTAGAAAACCACTGTACTGGTCAATTCCTGACCTCACCGAATTACCAGGATTGATTGGAAATCAATCTAGAGCATAACCCTCAAGTTTCCTGCCTACAAGAAACAAGTAACCATTCTCTGAGTTACGGCAGGTATGAATATGGTGGTCACGAAAGAGATGCCTAGATATGTAGTATTGCTTTCTTTTTCAACCTCCATAACATCATACGAGTGGCGTAATTGTAGGGATATCGTACACTTCCATCCTGATATACTGTACTAATAATGTAGATTGAATGCTCGGAAATAGAGCGGAAAGGTCCTCCCCAACAAGAAAAGAAAAACATATGGGACCGACCATTCCATTTCATGGGGATCGGAGATCAGAGCACCGACATCCGATGACCGTCCACAAGCCAGGCGCAAGTTTTATATCTAATGGTGTTTTCAAGAACATCTGGACTACCTAGAGAATTAGAGGGCGGGCCGGGGACTTGCCATAGGGCACCGGTTTCGTTCGGCCCGAACATTTTCGGGAAAGTACGTCCCGGGCATAATCCTATCGCACTTAAAACTGGCTTCGTGTTTCTGTTTTTTTTTTTTTTTTCTTTCTTTCCTTCTGCAGTTTCTGCTCATGAACCCTCCGCATCACCGTCTCGTCCTATCGAAAAGGCCCCCACCAATTTTTGCTCTCATCATGACTCCCGTCACCGCCATTACCAACGTCAGAGTATTTGATGGACAAAAGATCTGCGACCCTAATACCGTCATTATCTATGTGAATTGATTGACAGGTCTGGTGCCCTTCCCACCAAGAGCATCGACGCCCGGGAAGCCATTCTGTTGCCAGGGCTGCGAAGATAAAACCCTATTGTGAATCCCGGTTCATCTGCAGTCAGGGGTGCATATAAACCGATATTGAATGCGAAAACTGGACAGCCCAATGAGCGGATCACTGAGCCTGAGCGAAGCAAATGTAACTGTTCATTATGTATCCACCGTCGTCTTTAGACCAGTCCCGGATATATCTCCTCTGTTAATAGAAAGTAGATCCTCCACACAAGTATTTGCATAGAAGAGTAAAACGCCCGTTCAGTCGACATCATGATTCTCTGTGGGGCAGGTGACACGCCTACCCGATAAACCCACCATATTTGGGGCATATAGTAGTTGAATTGTTTTGGCGGTGGTAAACGTTCAACGCCCAATCATAGCAGAACAGAGCATATTTCGACCTGCGCTCGGTCGGATTCCATGAAGCGCGGTGAGAATAATCTTGTTAAAACAAGACACGGATTGTCCTTGTATTTAGACTATCCTATATCAAAATTGAGAAACTTCAAAACCACCGAAGTAAACGTGCGAATTCGAGGGAAAGCGTGCGCTTTTGGTGGGGTCCAACAAAGCTTCATTTGGCCAGCCACTTGAAGCTAGCTTCCATCAATTGTGCACACGAAGTAGGGTCATCGATACCGGGTAAATCCTGCTTGATAGAAAATCCTTTCTGGAACAAAACCCAAGAGATACATCTATAGCTGTCCCTGGCACCCTTCGGGAAATGGAACTCGGCCGTTCCTTGAGGGATTACAGGCGTAATCAAGTCGCGGTCATAAATTGCCTCCAAAGTGAGCAGCCTCCATTCATCTCCGACCAACTCGAGTCGAGAAATGAATCGAGTGTATGAGACGCAATCAAAAAGTGTCCCGTCGTGTTGGAAGCGGATGGAAATTGACCCAGTTGATTCGGAAAGCGCCTTCTCGCCGTGAAGATGGACCTCAACCGGACAGATAGTATGAACAGCGCCCGTTCCGCCTGTGGCCATACCTTTGGATCCTTCAACGAATCCATCGATATCCCCTTGAAACCTTGAAGCCGTGTCAGATCACCGTAGCAGTTTCATCATGGGCAGGATCTTACCAGGTAATTTCGATGCGCGTTTTCGACGCATCCGGGTGATAGCAAGCCCTCAATTTTTCCCACTGACAGGTATCCCGGTAGTAGCGCTCGCGCACAAGGAGTGATTTGATCTGCGCCTCATCCAGCATGTGGTTGGTTGGTGGTGTCATTTTGTCTTTAATAAGAGAACGGCTCATGCCCGCGCGCCTTCACTACTACCGGATGCTTTTTCCCGAGAATTTTGATCTAGGGGACGGGACTTATATTATAGTCCTAGCCACAAGCTTTCAACCTAATCGGTTCGGAGCAGCGGATAAACGGGAATGAGGGAAAGCTACCGAGCTATCCGTCGCATCATGATTGTTTAATTACATACTTCGAAACACACAGAGAGACATGAAGTCAGATTGTTGTCTCTTGACTTTCGAACATCAGAGAAGGTGAGGTGATAAGCAAAGATGGATAGGGAAGTGAGAGGGCTGACTACACGTTTAACAGCAATAAGAGCAATACCGAAGAAAAAGTAAGGTTATGCTTCCACGAAGAGATACTAGGTTTAAGTGTATATATGTATAAGTAGGTCATATAAGACGATTATTTTGTGAAAATCCTTGGAATTGAAGATATAGTCTTCATAGTGAAAACAGTGCTTAATATACATATCGTTAGGTAGCTGGTATCAGATAATTCGCTCATTTTCGTTTTCAGGCACTGACTCGAACAGCAGTGGATCATAGATTTCGAGATCATTTGTGCTTCACTATTCTATATTATCCTGATCTAAATCGGTGAGCCTCAGCCCCATAATCTCGTATTGCGCAAGTACAACCTTTTGATGCGGTATTATCCCACAGTGTAGGTTGAGACGGAATTCCGGATATAACGGGGTTTAAAGGCCCAGGTCGTCCGACAGGGGAATATCCTCAGTGCTAAGTCCATTCGGAGCTATGGTGGCCTAGAACCCAAATAGCAAAGATACGTCGAGAAGAATAGACACATGATACCACTATCGCCCGAGAAGCCTGCCACGTTCGCAGTAGTATTGAATGGTCCGATACCCTTACCATAACAATTGCCGGCTTTGCTCGGCCCGAATGCATTTGGTAACTGCATCGCGGAACCGAAATGCGTGGACACAACACCAGTCACCTTCGGACAAAAGGCATAGCGAGAACTTTCTAATACTTTGTAACCATGCTATTGAGTCCCTATGACAAATACAATCGCTCGGAGTGAAATTTTGTGTTTCCCAGATGTGCCGTGCTAGCGAAGTTAATCTAGACTATGTGCGGGGACGTTCACAAGGTCAACATGGGCAGAGATATCCATAGCCCTGCCCATAACAAGCAAATCTCACATTTTACACCATTATTAAGTGAAGAGGATTGAAGGGCTTAGTTGGAGTGTCATGTTATACAAAGTTACGACACTCTTAGATGTCTCATCCGGAGGTTAAGTTGTACTTCTATTGCAAAACGCGATCCTTCGCCAGACCCGCAAATCAACACTAGATAATGCTTGCCCGTTACCCTTTCGTCTTCACTCTAGCTGCAATAACAACTGCCTGTGGTGTACTATCACGCCTCTCTGGAAGAAATTTAGTCAAGATGGCTATCACAAATGTCCATGTTTGGAATGGTACAAGAACATTGGGCCTAGCTGAGTTGCGTACTCCCATGGGGCCGATCGGATATATTAATTTGGTTTGAAATACGCCGGTGGGTTTCTCCATACCCGAAACACGGTGCAGCGAAGTCTCGCAGCTTCAATTATTATAAACAGGTAAGCAAGCCCAGATTTCTTTTTTATCAGTGCGTTCCTCTCATCCACGGAGCCCCGGGACGACTTCACTTCTCCATGGAGCCTTTCAAACTTTGTCTACCAAATGGCGCCATCATATCCGGCCGCTATAACTTTCCCCCAAGAGATTCCAAATCAGCTCAGATACGGCCACTCATTGTGTGCATCCCCGGTGGCAGCTATGACTCTCGGTATTTTGACGTCCAAGGCGCTCAATCCATATGCAACTTGTCAAGTTGTTTGAAAATTCCGGTCATCGCAATAGATCGACCTGGCTACGGAGCGAGTACGCTAGCCCCCGACGTTGAAAATGCACCGACCTACGCGCAAGGACAAGGGATATACCTCAATTCAGTGGTCTTTCCTGCGTTGTGGCAAACCTTTGCAGATCGTGCAGAAGCATCAGGGATAGTGCTGCTATCACATTCGATCGGCGCTATGATTGCAACGATTGCTGCTGGATCTTACACCGGCTTGGAGGATTATCCGCTGGCAGGCATCATAACATCTGGTATTGGCAGCGAGCTTGTGGAAGGTCATAGGCAAGGCATGTTACATCTATTGGATGAACCAGCTGAGTTTGTTCAGTTTGAGGCAACGCCAAAAGACGCCATCATGTTGCAACTCCCTCATATGAATCTCGCGCCCTTAGAGATGCGTCAATTCACCGAGCAGTTGAACCAACCGGTCCCTCAAGGCGAGCTACGGGACATTAACACGACCTGGCTTGGCTACTGGAAGGACTATTCAAGTAATGTCAAGGTTCCGTTGCTATATGGATTGGGCGAATTCGACGGCCTCTGGAATTGTTCTGCGGAGACATTGGCAGTGTATAAGGCTGCCTTCCCAAAAAGTCCGACCATAACATGCGAAATCATCCCCATGGCCCCACACTGCATGGAGTTGAGCTTTCAAAGCCAGGCCTGGTATTTGAAATGCTTCGCTTTCGCTATTGAGTGTATCGTGACGAAATCAATACGGTCTACGGTGCAAGTTAACAAGAATAGTGATCGCGGTGCTGTATCAGGGGAAGAACCTGCTTCTCCTGTGGGCGGGATCACGACCATTGTCTACAGTACTACATCTTATGGGGAAGGGAATCGTGAAGTTTAGTCCGTAGCGTAACAATTTCACGTCATCTGCTATCATTATTTTCGGCGCTTTCCCAGCTTGAGTATCGTTTATGATCCGTGACTTCATCAATTACCGGTCAGAGCCCTGCTGCATCCTACGACAGGCTTATTGTCCTATCTCCTCATACTCGGTCTAAAAGCGTAACGCTGACCGGGATACAGCGTATGAAGCTAGTGCTAAGTCCCACACGGAACTATACACCCGATATTTAGTGATATTGCCGGCCCGAACGAAAGTGGCTTAGCGCACTTCATGGAATAGGCTAATTAATGAATCGAGAACGGGAACGATCAACGGCCTCCACCCGCTAGCTAATCCACGTGGTAGCCTGCGTTCCGGTTTTTTTTTTTTTTTTTTTTTT